GAACAAAAGGATGGCAGTGCTATGGTGCAATGCTATATATATGTATATGTATATATGTATATGTATATATATGTATATGTATATATGTATGTATATGTATGTACTGTAGCACTGTAGCACTGTCATCCTGTTAATCATCAATTTGCTCAATCAGGTGCCAGTAGCGTCTCCATTTGTCCTAGCCCTGAGATTTTAGCATTGCAAACTTTATGCTCTCTCTTCACGGATGCAGCATGCCAGCTGGATATCCTTGGGCATAATGGTGAAGCACTTGGCATGGTTGGTGCAAAAGTTGGTGTCCTCAAAAAGCCCCACCAGGTAGGACTCACACACTTCATGTAGTGCCATGATGGCTGAACTCTGAGAGGTCAGTCTTGAAGTCCTGTGCAATCTCGCACACCAGTCACAGGAATGGTAGCTTGCAGATAAGCAGCTCGGTGGACTTCTGGTATACATATATACATATACATATACCTATCACTGCATCACTGCATCACTGTCATCCCGTTGTTCATCAATTTACTCAAGCAGGCACTAGTAATGTCTCTATTCTTCCCAGCCCTGAGATTTTAGCAGGCTCTCCTTACTCATCTTTCCCAACGATTTGGAGGCTTTTTCAGGGTCAGGGGAATGAGACCTGTTATTGTTACTGTTTTTGGCATATCAAATACGCCACAGGCAGCTTGCCAGTCTCTGCCCATGCGGGTGGGATACTCTCGGTAATTTGCCGGGCTCTCTGATATATATATATATATATATATATATATATTTCTCTCTATGATTTGTTGCCTAATGTCTAAACCCCATCAACCTGGTAGCAGAGATCCTCTGCCTGCTTCCCCCAGTCTCCAGCAACCCAGGGGTCACACCCATAAGCCACTCCCTGCTGGTGCCAGACAATCTCCTCATTGGCCACTCTCCAGAATTCATTGGCTGCTTCACCCAGAAGGAAGCATAAAATGAGGCTCCCAAAACCATGCCACCGGACTCCGTGCCAGGCTTTTTTCACTCAGGGTGCCCCAGAGTGGGGTGGTGAGAGCCCTCCCCTGCTCAAGGGACCCAGCCCTGGCAGCCGACCTCCACTACCCAACCACCGCCACACTCCAGGCTGTTTTCCACATGCTCAAGCTGAGCCTCATATATGAATGAACACCTGGACACATCATAAGACACTCCCTACGTATTTTCCATAATTATCACACCATATTTGATGGGGTTCAGATATATATATATATATATATATATATATATATAGTGAATTGTATGAATTTTCCAATTAGGGTCAGTTGTATAAAAGATTCTTTCCTAAAAATACTAAAGCACACCGATACCAAATATTTTAACTTTTTATTATACCATAAGAATACTTTTCTTTCCCAGTTCATCTTTTGGAAATGTTTTGTAAGTTGAGTTATTAAAAATTATTATTATTATTACTTTTTAATCATGTAGTAGTACTGCTATTTGTTCAGCCACTGATTAAGCTGATTGAACTGGGCATCAACTCCACATTAGTTTTTTTTTTAATTGTATCACCAGGAGCTGGTTTTTATAGTCTCTGAGTCTTGGCCGCTGATGGGATTACACATCGCCAGGGGGCCAGTTGGTGGGTGTGACCCCCACCTACTGGAATTTGGAGGATCTGGGTGGAGGATGCTTGGCCCCGATCTGAGTAGGCTTAGAGATCTTGGCCCCGGAACCCACGTGGCTTTGTTCCTCTGCCAGTACCTTCATGTGTGCGGAGAGTGGTCTCATGCAGTGCAGTCTCCTGCCCCCGCGCCTGGCTGTCCTCGCCGGGGCCCCTTGGAGGGGAGCTGGTTGAGCTTGCCTCCCCGCCCCGACCAGGGCTCCGGCAGCCAAAGACCTCCAGGACTAGCCACCATCATACTGAGACCACTCTCCACACACATGAAGGTACTGGCAGAGGGACAAAGCGACGCGGGTTCCGGGGCCGAGATCTCCAAGCCTACTCGGATCGGGGCCGAGCATCCTCCACCCAGATCCTCCAAATTCCAGTAGGCGGGGGTCACACCCACCAACTGGCCCCCTGGCGCCGTGTAATTCCATCAGCGGCCAAGACTCAGAGACTATAAAAACCAGCTCCTGGAACTGCGCGGCCGCATTCTTATTATGACATCTTATTATCTCATTCCTACTTTGGACAAAGAAATTCCTACTTTGGACAAAGAGAGCCCGGCAAGCTACCGAGAGTATTCGATATGCCAGACACAGTAACAACAGTCTCCAATGGAGACGTTACTGGGCCCGCTCGAGCAAATCGACGATCAACGGGAGGGCCTTTTTACTTTGGACAAACTGGCAGGCTACCGAATGTAGCCTGCCCACACAGCAGAGTCTGGCAAACTCCCCGTGGCGTATCCAATGTGCCAAATAGCAGTAACAATGATGGGTCTCATTCTCCTAAAGAGCCTTGAATATAATCTCAGGGCTAGGATGAAGGAGACGTTACTGGGGCCTGCTCGAGGCAATCGACGAATTGTATCACTGAGAGATAGATTTACAAAACTTTCATGTTTGAGATTCAGCCGTACAATGCTGAAACATCCATCCTTCCACCTGTGCACATTTTCCATCACCCACATCCCAGTTCTCACCCTGCCTCTATGGCAGACAATTTCCCCAATACTATCTTTCTAATTTTGGAAATTATGTTTTGCTCAAAATTTTCCACCACCATTCAAGCCTACCTGCCAAGAGCAGACGCTCGATAATTTATTTTCCATTGCTCATTTTGAATATCATGAGAGCTCGCATGACCATAACTATGAATGTAAATTTCTAGATTGTAAATGGTTGGGTTTCAGAAACATCTCTGTATGGCACTAATCCATTTTCGGATTCAACTGGGAGTCTCTGGGTCAGGGCTGTTTGTGCGCTAAGATGGCACCTGGTGGCAAATGATGGGCATGGCAGCCAGTCTACTGGGTGGGTGGGGACCTGGGGAGGGACAGCCCGGGTCCTCTGCTGCCATGAGGCCTGGAGATTCAGTCCTGGAACCTGTATACCTGGACCTTGCTGGTAGAAGCTTTTGGTCACCGAGATTCCGCCTGGAGTAGGTGGGGAGAGCACACCTGCTGCATCTGAGGTGCCCTGGTGAAATTGGCTTGGTATGGGGCCTGTGCTATGGTGTCTTCCGGGACTTGCTGCTGTGTCTCTGGGTCAGGGCTGTTGGTGTGCTAAGATCCACATTACAAAATTTTCAGAAGATTATATGTTGGTTAGGTCCATCCTGAGACAGTGGAGTCAGGCTGGGGGTGTGGCAGTGATTTTGGATTGTGGAAGCAAGCAGCTGCCTGGGGCTCTGCTTGGGCTGGCACAGGCCAATTCACCCCACTCCAGTTTACCTCAATCTGTTCAGACATGCATGGGTCTGAGCTTTTCTGCAGCTTTTGATCTCTTTATTTAGGGGTCTCTGAAGCAAGGCCGGCAGTAGAGCTTATAGGGTAGCACTGAAATTGGTTCTAGGGGTGACTGCCAGTGCTTCCATGTGTATTGGGAAGTGGGGGGAGGTAGCCCACCCCAACCCTGAGAAAGCCTGGAGATTTCAGTCACAAAATCAGCAAACCAGAATTTTCAGCAGATTATATCTTGGTGAGGTCTGTCCTGAGAAGGTGGAGTCAGGCCAGGGATATGACGACGATTTTGGATTATGGAAGCAAGCTGCTACTGGGAGCTCTGCTTGGGCAGACCACCAGACCTATCTGCACCCCTATGATTTACCCCAGTCTGTTCAGCCATGTGAGGATCCATGATTAATTGTGGGTTTTGATCTCTTTCGAGATTTATTTATGGGTCTCTGAAATGAGGCCAATAATGAGCTCGTATAGCCGAGCTGGAGGTGGTTTGAGGGTGTTGCTCCCACATACCTAAATTTTGACCATTTAATTTCTTGGTAAACTTGGTCCCAAGTTGTTGGGATCTGGCCAAAGGCACAACAGTAATTTTGGGGTATCAGGAAGCCTGAAGGCACCAATAGGATACTGATGCACTCTCCCAGCAGGTACAGGTTGACCTCCTGGTGGCACCATACCCCCTGAGTTATTAAAAATTATTATAAATGTATTTCCTAAGTTGAAATCTGCTTGAAAACCAACCAGACAAGAGACACAATAGTGGGTTAAAAATAACTTTATTGGAAATAAGCTGACAGGGAGGGAAATGACAGACTCATGTCTTCAAAGCAGGGGTAGGTTGGGATGGGGGGATGGGGGTGGGAGGGATACTGGGATTCGTGGTGGTGGGAAATGGGCACTGGTGGAAGGATAGGTATTTCATCATTGTATAATTGAAACCCAAGCACAAAAATTTGTAAGTCTACAACTGTACCTTATGATGTCTCACTAATAAAAATTAAAAAAAGAAAAAAAGGAATTATCTTGTTAAACAGTCCTCAGAGGGTGTTTTTAATATAGAAAAAAAATACAGGGAAGAAAGGGTGGCCTGCAGAGAAGTATCTGCTAGATGAATATAATCTTCTCTTAAGGCTCACTTTGTTTCATCTATAAACCTAAACAAAGTAAGAGTTAGGCTTCTGGAAGAAAGGTAAGCTAGGGAGATACTGTCCTTATCTTTATGCTTTGGAGGAAGGACAGTCATCCCCCTAAATATTGATCTTTGATCTGGTTTTAGATGAAAACAATATCAGAATGACCTAGTTTTTTTAAAAAAAAGATAATAAATTTACATAGTTACAATGCTCTATTGTTGCTGTGAATTACAGTTGAAATTACTTCAACAGTGGTATACCAATGTAGACATCATTTATGTATAAAAAAATCCCAAAATTGAGTATTTAGAAAATCAGATGATAAATAGCACCCTTGAGTCTGGTAGCTTTCATTAAAGCAGAACAATGGTAGATGCCATCCTATTGGCTGAGGGATTTACCCAGCTATCTGGCATTCTTATAATATACAAGAACCAGCAGTCAGTCTCCACTTGAAATCAGAGGGCAGCATCACAAACACACAACAAGGAAGATGGCAAAACAATTGTTACTTTTCCTCCTAGGTCTCCTGTCCTTAGGTGCTGTTCATGGATCCTTTCTGGGTAAACTTGCTTCCAAGAAGATCTGTGCAGATGATGTGTGTGAATGTAAGAATACATTTTATTATTTTTTAATGATCTAATGAAAAAATCAACTAATTCTTCTTTGTAGTAACTTTTGTCTAATGTGTATATTTGATGAACATTATTTCTGCTGCTCTGTATCTCAGTGTCTTACTACGGAAAACTAATCTTGTTTTTGATTATTGGATGCAGCTTTACTACTTGGGTTGTTTTATTTATTTTGAATGAAACACAGCTATAGAGTGAGAGGCATAAGTCACTCAGGTTTCCTAGTATTCTGTCATGCCTATGCCTTTCACTGATACAAAATTCAGGATCCTAAATGTAGTTATTTAAATATTTTATTTTGTTTTTCTCTTCCTTCCAGATACTATTTCTCTGGCTAGAGCTCAAAAAATGTATGAAGGCCCCGATTGTAGATTCCTTAGCTTTACGGAAGGACAGCAGATCTATATTTACTCAAAACTGGTGAAAGAAGATGAAGAAGATGAAGAATATTGGGCTGGCAGTGTAAGATGAGATAATTAAAAATACATATTTAGCTTAACAAATGATCCTCTTAATATTATTCTGATTACCTATTATCAGTGCATTTTAATATTACAATTAGCTGATAAGAACAGGGTAGAAGTTAGGGATGCAAATATTTGTGAAATGTTATTTTATTACATTTTAAAGAAGCAAAGATAATTCATAACAAAACCAAAGTAAGTTTATGCGATATTTTGGCAAGAAAAACAAACCTAATACACAGGCATTTGAACATCCTGAAAAACTGGAATCTAATAAAAAATGTTTGGAAGTATTTGAACTCTAAAAAATATATGTTGCTAGTCAGTCCAAGTCTCAATAGTTTAAGGAAAACTTAAGCATTCTCTTTAATTACAAAGAGTCTGTTTTCCTCATTTCAGCCATGCAGAGGTGGCCATGAAGAGGGATGAAGAAAGATTGATTTATTTTCTTTACCTGTAAGATTCACCAAAACATGTAAAATTACATTTTAAATTCACTCATGCATTTATTGTTTGAATTTGTGAAATCTGAGAAAAACAAGTCCCTTAAGAAATGCCTATTTGCTTAAAAAATAAAAATTAAGACTTAAAAAAGTTCTCTGGCTGCTAAAGAGCTTTTGTAAAATAAACGAAAACCAAAATCATAAGATCTGTAAGAAGGGGCCACAAAAAGGCGCACACACTCTTTCTTTGGACTATCTTAGTTGCTTTAGGTTCATTTTAAGTTTGGCTCTGAGCTCTAGGAATTCGGAGTGAAAGCAGGGCATTGGCATTTAGTAATTTTCATTGATAGAAGGAGGATATTAAGAGTTTCTGGAGGAGAGCTCACATTAGCTTTTCTGACTGGTGCACATCTGCCCTTAGGTGTATGGTCAATGCCTCCCAGACCAGATGGGAAACATGGGCTATTTTCCTAGCAACTTGGTTGAGGAGATTCAGGTGTTCAAGGAAGCCACCAAGGAACTCCCCACCACAGTAAGTATAAGCTGATTTTAGGAAAATGCATCAAGAAATTTACAAGATGCTCTTAGCAACTCCTTTCAATAGTAACTTTTTTTCTGAGACCTAGTTTGGGAGAGCATTTAAAAGATTGTTATGTTGAAAGTAAGTGAACTTTATTCACTGACTTTTATTTCAAATGCAAGTTAGATTGGTAAGGAGGCCATGTATCTTTTCCTCTCTCTGTCCCTCTGTCTCTCTCTCTCTCTCTGTCTCTCTGTCTCTCTCTCTCTGTCTCTCTGTCTCTCTCTCTCTGTCTCTCTCTCTCTCTCTCTCTCTCTCTCACACACACACACACACACAAACCAAAATAGTAATAGTATCAACAGATTAATTGGTGGTCACAACTATTTAATGAATATTTGTCCTAAAAAAATTTGAACCTGTATTTAAAAGAAATCAAGATATCCTGGAAAAATCTTTGAATGTCTTTAAAAAAAATTTTATGCAGCATAGATTTTCTTCAAGTGTGGGTGAAAAAAGTACACTTTTTAATGCTCTGGGGTCTTATAAACCTAGAACAGAAATAACATCCCATATGAGCTACTTTGCAAGGTAGTTGTTTTAAAGCTTTCCTCCTGGAGCTAATTGTTGTACTAAATAATTTCCACACATTGCCCAGCCTGCACAAATGGCCCTCCCTTGTCATCACTTTTTAGCATAAAGTTTGAATATGTCAAATAAGCATAAATTAAAAGTGTATTTAAGAACCTTCATTTTAAGCCCTTTTTACTTCAAATGATGATTAAATTGTTAAAGCTTTACTTACTTTAAATACAAATTTCCCTTTGGTTACTTCTGATTCATATGCAGAACTTACATCTACTTCTCTAGCCCTGTTTGCTCAGAGCAATCTCTTATTTTTGTTTTGCTTTTTTTCCCCCCACAGGAACTTGACTTCATGTGTGCCTAAAAATTTACACACAATCTGCACATACAAAGGAGACGCCAAGAATGAAGAAAAATCACACAAACCACAATAATTTCTGATTTCTGTTGCAAAGGTTTGTTGCCATAAAGGAGGAATGTAATTTGAGACTAGAGGTGGAGATGAAGGAGGTTCAATAGAATCTTATTTTCTGCCAATCTGGTATCCCCTCTTCCTCCCAAAGTGGGGCCAAGGTTGATGTTTGGCTCTTGTGGGTAAATAGATGCAAAGAATTCTTCAGCGTAGAGTATTTTTTTAGACAGCGATCATAGAGAAGATAAATTATTTGTAGTTCTTTCCAAACAGTAGTTCTCTCCAGCTCTTAGCCTCTCTGTCTGAAAATTTTGTAGGTCACAAGACTTTCCTTTGAATATGATGTTTCCTACTTATTGATATCTCCCAAACAATTGCAGTACTATAATCTACCTAAAGGGCTGTTTCATCGAGGAGTATTATTGTTACTTTTAATATCTGATGCTATTGTGATGTGAAGGGTATTTAAACATGTTGGGTGACTTGCATTTGTAATTGTTTGGATTATACCTCTAAATTTCTTTTTAGAAAAATATCTTATAGATTGTTTCAAAGGAATGGTTTTACCTTCTAAATGATCTATTTATACCTCCTTCAATTTCGAATAAAAATGATTGTATATGGTCGGGGTAAAGGTAAAGGTAAAGGTAAAGGCCCTCCCGTTGATCGTCGATTTGCTCGAGCGGGCCCAGTAACGTCTCCATTGGAGACTTTGTTGTTACTGTGTTTGGCATATCGAATACTCTCAGTAGCTTGCCGGGCTCTCCGAGAGGGGTGGAGGAATCGAACTCGGGTTGGCCATGTTGGCCGCTTGTAAGGCGGACGCCCTACCCGCTGTGCTATCGCTCCATATGGTCGGGGTGGGTATCAAAATATTTATAATGAAAGTTTCCCTTGACTATACATCCTTGATGGAATGTTATTCAAGCTTTACATCAAAAGAAACAGACAAAAAGTAGTTCTGGATTATTTCTTTTTTTTTTTAATTTTGAATTTCTTCATGTCTAAATTTCCTCAGATAAAGACAATGTGTCTTCAAATTTGGTAAAAGAATACAAATTTGTTGTTTCGAATAGATCCACCTGCTTTCCTAATTTTCAATTAAAAAAATTTGTGCGCTACTATGCATTACTTCTAATGTAACCAAGAGTTCTTGTTTACATGTAATTAAAATATTTGTGCTAACTTTACTGTTTCTGACTTTTAAATACTTTCTCTAACAGTTTTCACTGTGGGGTATGTGTAAACTCAAAAAGGGGCACAGCACAGTGGCGGTGGCTCTATCTCTCCCGCCGCCTGCGTTCAGTAGTCTCACGCCACTTCCCCCACCCCAGGGAGATTGATGCTAATGGGCAGGCAAGGGAAGGAACGAGGGCCAGGCTGGTTGGTCTTAGTTGCAGTTTATTCCAATCACACCAGTCTCCCTTCTCTGCCTCTGCCTCCTCTTGCCCATTCTACAGTTTCATTATATCTCTCTGGATGAGGGATTGGGGTAACAATTACACATAGGTGCGGTCACAATCAATAGGGGTAGAATTCTTTCTCTCAGGGAAAGTTGCTCCTAAAACAGATCCTCACTCAGCAGGATGACCCACCCTAGAGTGTAATCCCATGGGTGTGTTTCTCCTCTCCTTGTCCAACAAGCATATAAGCATACATAATATAAATGATTTTGTATGAGTACAGTAAGAAATATCTTAGACTTATAGAATTGCCTTCCTAGGGCCATCTCAATCTCAGACTACAGTGCTCAGGCCAAATAGTCTTTCCCACCCCTAGCAGGATCCTAGTCTCATTGTTACTTTTGGATCATGACAGCATTTGTCTATGATCAAACTCTTAACTTATAGTTAAGAATCGTGGCACTTTGGCCTGGCCCATTTTGATGCCAGGGTAGCTCACCGCTTGCCCTAGGTCTATTCAGTCCCTCGTCGGGACCCTGCTTTTGGGGTGTTAGAAACTAAGAGCAACTGAGGCTTAAGTAGAGAAAGCAGATGCCCGGGAGTGAATAATATTCAAAGCCAATCAAATCCTAAGTTACAAAGCATAATGTTAATGGTCTTCCTGTATCTATACAAAAAGGGCATTGCTTTAAAGCAAACTGTTCATAAGGCATAAGGAGAGGAGAAAGGCAATATTTCACTCATACATATAAAATCATAGATTTCTGAGGAATCTGAGCTTACAAGTTAACAGAGTCTGATTAGGGGGAAATCTGATTAACTGGTTGGGGAGGAGAGCATAGGGAAGAATTTACAGATAAACAAAATGGAATGGAAATGCCTCAGGAGCACTGTGATGGGTGTAACCAGATAAACCTAAGCTCTTTGTGGAGGAAGGACAAAGCAATGTCATCCTACATCGTACAGAAAGTTTATGGTGCTCAGGGACGGGATTTGTTCCTCAGTTTTCTATGGTCTGATTATTCTACACACATAAAAAAAGGCTAATTAGGATGAGTTGACCTTGGACACCAAGGCCTTTTTCAAGCTGGATACATTATGACTTTGGTAAATATGTATTTAACAAAGAAAATCAGTCAAATAAAGGATATGAAAGACATGAACCAAAAACTGAAAGCCCACTATTTAATTACATCTGTGATGGGTTTAGACACCCTCAATGCCACAAGTAAAAGCTCTTACAGGAACTTTAAACACCACTAAACGTGCTCTAAAAGTATCATTCTTAGTCTTTGGAACTTGGTTAGTACATAGAACCTCTGAGTCCAGAGAATACCTTCAGAGCTAGAATTCATTTTTTAACAAGGCTTCCAGGAAACCTGGATATATAGTGTATGGAAGAAAAAACTTTCTGTCCTTTTAAGTTTACTAGATGGCTCAGGAATTAAACATATAGAAAAAGTAAACTAATGAGATAAATGTATACTAATTTTAGAAATACTTTTTATGTCTACATGGTAATTTTCGAGGAAAAACCAAGAATGAAACTATTAGGATAGTTTTGTTTGGTTTTGCTTTTCTGTTTTGTTTTATTTTGGTGACATACTGGGAAATACTCAAGGGTTACTCCAAGTTATGCATTCAGGAATTCATTCTGGCAGTGCTCAGGGGATCATAAGGGATGCTGGAGATCAAACCCAGGTTGACCATGTATAAGGCAAGCACCCTACCTGCTGTACTAACTGTGCCCCCTTAGGAACAAATGCTTCTAAGAGTTTTTAACATTTTCCTTCCTGGGTTGTAGTGGGTGGGGAGGAGTAAGTATACTATAGAACATTATATATAGAGAGAATAAAGAATAATATATAGAATAGTATAATAGAGAATCTGGACATAGGAGGTCTCATAAGTGGCAGTCATACTTATTTGTGATAAAACCATATGCATAGTGGTCTCCTCTCAAGGAATTATGCTATATAACCTGTCAGATACTTTAAAACTGAGAAATTGTAATGACACATTTAGATCATTTGGAATTTCTAAATAGAAAAAAAAATTTGAACCACTTTCTGGAATTACATCATGTTTGGTAAGTTTTCTGCTTCTTCTTCAAAATTATCTGAAATTATTTGCAATAGTCCCAAATCAATTTTCTAAGACCGACCAGCAATTGATTGGTGACAAGCTGTTGAGTGAATGAGTATAATTTTTGACTTAAAGTGTATGTCCACAGTTCAGTACCAAACAGATGAGGGTCATCTACATTCCAGTGAGGGCACCTCATCATCAATATGTGAGATTCCAAATATAATTTGCTCCTCTGTGAGACTTACAGCCAGATGGCTGGGCATGGAAACTAATCACATTTAGAATAAAGAAAGTAGAGTCATCTCATTTCTATAAGTCTCATTTCTACAAGTCTCATTTCTACTAGCAAAGGTGCAAAGAATCACAGTTCTTGGGAAAAGATCATTTAACTGGCAGTGTGTCATGTAAGTACCTTGAGTTTTCACAGCTAGATGGCAATTGCCACACTGCATGGATGTATAGTGTTTCCTGCTCCTGATACTGAAACTTCACATTTCTGGGTAACTTTTTTTGAAGGGGGCAATGGGGTGGGATAAACCCGGCAGTGCTTAGGGGCTACCTTCTGGCTCTATATTTGGAGATGCCTCCAAGCAAGGTTCATAGCACCATGCAGTGCCAGAGAGAGAATCTGAGCCCCCAGCATGAAAAGTAAGTGCTATGAACTTTGAACCATTCTCCCCTGATTGACTTTCTGAATCTCACTGTGACGAGTTTGATGTGAAATCTAAAGCATATGACTGTGTAGGTTGCCACAGGGAAGAAAGAATGAAGCTATGAAACAGCGACCCATCTGGAGACTGAGATATTGTGGCATCTTTTTCCTCTCAAAACAATGAAATATCTATGTAATATCTACTAGTGAGAAGTTTATTATGGTTAGATGACTAGAGTTCATAATTTTCTCTCCTTGTTGTGTTAAATAAGTTTATAATAGGGGCAATTTGAAAAGGGTATATTTAGTTGGTCCCAATATTATGTCCAAATGAGTGCATTACATATAATGCCAATCATTATGGATAATGAACATGGGGATTCTTTCATGTCATGTGACTAATGGCTCAGATTTCTATTATTTGTGTGATCATTCTCGTGTCATTTCAATGTATGCTCACTCATCTGCATGAAGGAATGACAGTGCCTTACAGTGTAGTTATAACTAACTTGGGAATAATTGTGAGGATTAAGTTGAAATACTGAATCTTCCTGTTGGTGCCCAATGCTGCACCCGGTTTTCTCCCTCTTCCAGATACTGGTAAGGGGCGTGGCCCCTGCAGAACTGGGCGTGGTCTCTGCAGAACTGGGCGTGGTCCATTTGGGGTCTGCGGCTGCTCATGTGGCCACAGTTATTTTACCCATATGCAGTTATCTGGTGTCACATCTCAGTCTACATACTGCCACAACAACATGAAAACATAGTGCAAATCCCCACCACGAGGTGAGGATGATGAAAAGAATCCAGAA